AAGAGAGAAGGAGAAGCAGAGTGAGAGTGCAGAGGTGCATGAGAGAAAGAGAGAGAGAGAGTGAGATGAAAAGCTGAATGCCTCCTCTTACCTGCAGCTCTTGACAACCCTAAAGCCCTTTCACAACTTCCTGTTCCTCTCTGAACTGGGCTACATCCAAAGCATGTGCGTGCATTTATCGGAACGCACGGCTTACATGCAACTGTTGTGCACCCTTGTAAGAGTACAGGTGTGTGTGTGTGTGTGTGTGTGAGTGTCTCACCGAGCAAGGGAGGCAGTGAGGGAGTGAGTCAGCGCTGGGAAGATAGAGAGGCTCATTGAAAGGCCTGCGTGGTGAGGTGGTGGAGGAGAGCAGCCAGAACAGGCAGACACGCAGGCACACATGCTGTGAAGTTAGGAAGAGGACTGATAGATCTATTGCGCAGCCACTGCTGCTGCAAGAGTCGAACACACCTCAGGCAAATGGATGGGGAGTGAGTGCGGGGGTACCATTAGTCTTTCGGTGTGTGTGTGAGTGTGCCCTTTGTGTTTGAGTGCGTGGGAGAGGTATATTACATGGTCTTGGAGTGTAGTTTTTATGATGTGGTGCTTCAAACAAGGCTTTGCAGTACTTTACAGTGCACACTCATTTACTGAGGGCAAATGTATATACAGATGTACGGTTATGGAGAAACAAGGCATATGTGCACATTAGTTAGGTGCCCGTATTGCTTCGTTTTTCTATGCACGGTAACTACACACTTCCCAAACACCTGACCTGTAAGCACACAAAAGCATCATCTCTGTTTTTCTGCATTACCACAACAGACAGCCTCCACTCCCACACTCAGCACTCCATCTCACATATCAACTAGCTTTTGTCTTAAGCTCAAAATCACTCTTTTTATAGGGTGGAACAGTCATTTCTTAAAGAATTATCAAACAAAGCTAGAATGTACATTTTAGGTATTATGAATAGATTCAGGGAAAGCTCATCATGCAAGCAAATCATCGCAACTTGCTTGATTGTCCAAGAAGCACTTCGATTTAAAGAAAAAAGTAAAGAACATCGTGTTCCTTAATTCTGTGGGTGCTGTATTCCAAGTATGTGCTGCTTGATAAGAGAAAAACCGAGTGCCCAAAACCACTTTTCCTGAGGGGTATTAAAGGGAAGCACTGTGTCTGTGTTGTTAAGAGATTACTAGTATTCTTATTGAGGCTACTTGCTTGTGACCTGCTTATTTGAGCTTGTCATTACAGAGGTTTGTGAATAAATCCGTGCGTCATTAGCAGCTCACCCACCAAACTTTTCCCTGTCATCAGTGTACACCGATCAGGCATAACATTATGACCACTGACAAGTGAAGTGAATAACCCTGATTATTTCTTCCTTGCGGTACCTGTTAGTGGGTGGGATATATTAGGGAGCAAGTGAATATTTTGTCCACGGAGTTGATGTGTTAGAAGCAGGAAGAACCGGAAAGCATAAAGATTTAAGTGCACTTCACAAGGGACAAATCGTGATGGCTAGATGTTGTCAGGGTAGTGTAGGGGCAGTGTAATGGCTTGGGCAATGTTCTACTGGCAGACCTTGGGTTCTGCCAACCATATGGATATTACTTTGACATATGCCACCTCCCTAAGCATTGTTCTAGAGCAGTGTTTCCCAACCACTGTGCCGTGAGAAATGATCAGGTGTGCCGTGGAAGAAAAATTATCAATATGTTTTTTGTAACATTTTGTGTTTGGTGGTGTGCCGTGCGATTTTTCTAACGTGAAATATGTGCCGTGGCTAAAAGGTTGGGAAATCCAGAGCATGTACACCCTTTCATGGGAATGGTATTCTCCAATGGCTGTGGCCTCTTTCAGCAGGATCATGGACCCCGCCATAACGCAAAAACAATTCAGGAATGGTTTGAGGAGCACAATAACAGGCTTAAGGCACTAACTTAGCCTCCAAGCTTCCCAGATCTCAATCCATTCAAACATCTGTCGATGTGCTGGACACACAATCATAATAATAATAATAATGATGGATTGCATTTATATAGCGCTTTTCGAGACCCTCAAAGTGCTTTACAATTCCACTATTCATTCACTCTCACATTCACACACTGGTGGAGGCAAGCCACAGTTGTAGCTACAGCTGCCCTGGGGCAGACTGACAGAAGCGAGGCTGCCATATCGCGCCATCTGCCCCTCTGGCCAACACCAATAGGAGCTAGGTGAAGTGTCTTGCCCAAGGACACAGCGACCAAGACACACAGAGCTGAGGATCGAACCGGAAACTTTCTAGTTACAAGATGAGCTTCCCAAACCCCTGAACCACGGTCGCCCCCCCACACAAGTCACTATCATCTACGTCACCATCATCATCATCTTTACTGGTTCATACTTTCATTTTTAGAAATTACATATTTTTGCCTACAGTTGGCAGCTTGACATACAGCACTGAGCTCTCAAAAGGTTGAGTCGTTTGAAAGTTTTTTTGCCATATGAGCAGGTAACTCTGCCGTTTGAGACATTTTTTTTTATCAGTGTAAACAATCCAGTGGTAACTAATCTAAAGTCTTTGTTAATTAACTGATAAATTAGTCATTAGTCTCTGCAATGCTTTGTACAGTATATACAAAAGCATAATTATTTTAGACTGTTATGAAGAACATTTTACTCTTTGACAAAATATAAACACCCAAACGTTAGTCAGCAAGTACAAGGTCTGTTACTAGCTTGGTTTTCCAATGGCTGATTCTCTCTTAATAGCACTCTTCTCTAGCCCATTTTTCACATGGTTTTGGCAGTGCACTCACTGAGCTGAGCTAAAGACAGATAACACAAAAGAGGGAAGAGGAGATGGAGAAGGAGAACAGACAGGAGGGAGAGAGAGAGAGACAGCTGCGTGATGGTAGCACAGTGAAGGTAAGCCACCATCCTGACATTTAAACAAGTGTCAGATACAGGGGGTCAGATGAATGGAAACAAGCCGTGACCAGATCGGGGCTGTGTGCCGATTTCGATTTGTTACGAGGAGCGGACGGCAGCCCATCGGGCTTCAGTGCACCTGCCTGGATCGCTTGCGCTTTGATAGCTGCTCACCTTTCGGGAGATGCTTGTCCCTACCATCGCCAAGTATTTGATCAAAGAAAATCAAAGAGAACTGCTGCACTCCAAAAAATAAAAATAAAAATAGTTATGCATTTTGCCATTTTGTCCCATCCCATTTTCTTAAACGCTTGTCCAAGTCAGGGTTATGGAGAGGTTACAGCTGTCACAGGTGAGGTGCACCGTCAACAGGTTGCTAGCAGGGCATCTTATGGGTTTAGATTTTCCATTGCACATAAAAGAAATAAGTAAATGACAGTATCAATAAATAAATATGTAATAAAATAAATTATATTTTAAAAAATACATTTGTAATTATAAATATGTATTTAAAAAGTACCACTTTTAATACTATAACAGACGTATCTTTTATCCTCTCAGCAACGTTATAAGGTCTTGGTGTTCAAGTGCACTAAGATCATTCACGTTGTAATTTGACATAGATATATATATAAAACAGTTACTGGGAGAGATGCCCAGGCAGAAATGGGAAGCAAAAAACGGCAAAAATCCTGTTTTTGTGCAGCTTTGCCTCACCTCAATTTGCCTTTCAAACACTAAAGAACTGTAAATTTCTCTTCAAGGTTACTAAGCCCTTCGTCCTCAAACTCTTCTTCGTCACCACTTTTCTGTATCCATCTACCTCTCTGTGACTGGGTGTAGACCAGGACCATCCTTTCCACTCATAAAATAAGTCTGCTTATATTTGCTTTTTGGCATCTCAGCAGTCCTGCATTCCAGGAAGGTGAGTTATGGGAAATGCTGTCTCCCACAAAACACAGTCCTAAGCTGGGATGATTTTTTTTTTTTTTTTTTTTAGTGTTGTACATAACTCAGGTCAGCTGGACATGGACAACACTAAACATCTAATTTCTTTTATTCGCAACCCAGGAAGATTCAAAGATGTTTGTCTCACCTCTTTTTATACCTCTCACTGTCCCCTCTAATCCACTCTGTTCTGTGTCCTGTGACCTGTAGATATATCCTTGCTACTAACAGGCATCCAAGTGTTGTCTTTAATGGCCAGGCGAACTCACAAAAAGGACCTGCCAAGATAATCAGCCTTTTTTCCCTATCCTCTAAAAGGCAAAGGTTCTTTTCCTCAACATTTTGACCCAGAGCATGCCCAGCAGGATATACTCATGTTTGTAACAGGGTTAAGAAGGCAGCTTCACCTTGAAAGGCCACACTTCAGAGCCCGGGAAACCACAAAAAGCAATTAAAAGTATTGATGGAACTTCAATAGCTCTTAAACAGTGCTGCCAGACACCTCGGGGCAAGTAGCACACTAATCTTTTTTTTCCCTTTCCCCTCCCTCATCCCTCTATATTCTCTTCTCTTTCACAATTTCTTCACTTAAGACTTCACTGGTCTTCATCATTAAAAAATTGATTCCTCAAAAAGTATTTTCAGCCTTGTAAGGCAGCTGACCAAGGTTCTAAGAAGATGAGTTTGACAAAGATAATAACTGAAGTTTATCTAATCTTTGCTTGCTTGTTAGCCCTCTAATTGGCTGCATATGTTCAAGCATGTAATTGTGTGTAGTATGTGTGCCCCAGAAACAATTTCAAATGAGCCAGTAATGTCATTATTTCATGTGCATTACTGCGCGGATACTAATGGAAACACCCTTTCCAAATGATTGTCATCCGTACGACAAAGCAGGAAATCGAGGAAGAGATAGGGAAAGGCTAAGAGTGTGGCTCCCTTCCTAATTAACCTCTGAAGCAGGCCAGCACCTCCAAGAGCAAGATGTTTACCTAGATCCTTTTTCTCACCAGATCACTGATTTACCGTGTGCACCTTTCTCGGCCGATGTCTGAAATTTACAAAAAGGTTTGGACTGCGGCTCCTGTGACAGGACACCCACAGAGTGACAGTCAATGCACTTAAACAAGGCACAAAAACTAGACACTTACCTTTGCACTGGTTAGTGTTCTTATCCAGAATGGCCTTGGTTGACACTATTTTCCCATACCTGTAAAAACAGAGAAATCTAATTTAGCGTTTTACACTCGTAATAACCCACAGGGCCTTCGCCTGGTCGGACAGTTCATTTGGATTACCAACCTGTGGTTAATATATTTGCCTTATTTTCTATACTTTGCCATTTAGTTACAACGAGCAATTTGCAAAGTCACAGAAATGTCAAAAGCCACTGGGAAGAGAAATCACTTGAGGTTAATAAAATTATGTGTATGGCTGACTTGGAATGAATGGGCAGCCCTTTGGCATTTCAGAGAGTCACTGAACATTATAAAAGGTCTAAAAGCATGCAAGTGCAATAAACGGTCCTAAAGGTTGCTCTTTTGGTGTAAAGTAAAATTCATGTGTTGCTAATGAATTTATTTGAAATCTAAAAACTATAAAGCGAACACATTTAAATCAAAGGTGACTCAAAGGAATAATGATACGTCTTAATGAGCTTTAGAGGAGCTGGTAGGGTGATATGATGTAACCTTCAGACAAAGACAGTACAGTGCAGTAGCTCCTCCTGCTTCTGTTCTTTATGTTAAGCTAACTGTCTGTTGACTCTGGCTTCAGAGTGAATGAACATATACCACTGGGCCCCTCAGAGCAGCTCTACCGAATACGTTACAATAAAAAAATAAATTGTAGGGAAAATTGGCAGCAATTGTCATGACAATTCGGGTCTTTTGGTGTATCTATCGTCTCAGATCTCCCTTTCAGAAAGAAAGTACCCAAGAAAATACCCAAATTTTACCGCTATGTTTGTAAATGAGTGAATAAATTCTAGACTCCCCGTATTCTGGCAGATTCTGTAACTGGAATTTGTGATATAACTTATTCATAAAAAATATAAAACGTGTATGATGCTGGAGCCTATTTGGACCTGTGAAAATCCAATACAAAAGTTGAAATTGCCAAAGGAGCAGGACTGCATAAAGACACCTACGGTATGCTTATAAGCTTACATGTCACTGATGCAGCTCCACGCAAAAGCAAAAATATATTGTATTTCTTTATTCCACGGGTCTATATGCAAAGTGGCTTGCAAGGAATTTTTTGACTGACCTTCCTGACTGACAGACAGCAAGATCTTCTATCTGCTTGTCTCAGCTAAAACTGCAATATGCTGCACCGTGAGCTGCTCTCTAAGTACACTGTGTGCACTAATGTACATGTGGAGATATACTACATGCATGCATGCGTGCATGTGTGCTGATATGTACTGTAAGTGGGAACAATTCCCTGTATGTCAAAAGCACATCACAAAGACTACACCAAAGGACAAAAAACAGCCACCCTCAACGCTGCATCTGGGCACACACACTTACATACACTCACACTTATTCTGTAGGGAAGAAGCAGTGGTGCATCCCGGCCCATATTTCACCAGCAGGGGATAATTGTGCCATTTCTCAACGAGTGGCGGAGACTCTATTTATTGCATGCTGCGGTGGGATGGGTGGTGGATATGAACTGATGAGCTCCGAGAGGAAAACTACCAGCTCGCACACACTAATACAGATACCACACGAGTACACCCACACACACATACACGCATACAAACACACAGAGCGACAGCACTCACCAATCAGTGGATTGTCTCTCTTCAGCAGATAAACAGGCCATTTTAGCCATAGGGATTCATAATCTACTGCAACAGAGTGGGACTAAGGTGCAGCGTTTGATCATACCGAGACACTCTCAAGCATAAGCACAAAAGATGAACATGGAACAAGGAGTTTTCACTTGATTAGTGAATGTGGAGAGCTGGGGCAAGTGCCTTCAGCACTCGCTGAGCTACAAAGCTGTAAGTAATTTTGTAGCACATTAGAGATACAAATTTAGATTTGATTTTTAAGTATTGATAAAGGAAGTAGGTGGGAATTACCTTTGTGTTCTACTAATACATTTCAAGTCATTTGAATCGTTTGACAGCAAACATCTTCAAAATTAAAAAAGCCTAACTTTTAACTAAACTAGAACATTAAATAAGCATTCAAGACCAGCATGTCAATAACCACATAATCAGTTGAGGCAATGTGTCAAAATTTCCCAGCTACCCTCAGTCAGTTTAGCACCTGCTGAAGGCGGGGGTAACACGTGCTGAAATAATAAGGATGTGAAACTACATGGAGAGCTTTAGTCTAGTTCTCAAATATGAATTATTGGTTTTCTTTAGAGCTTTAGTTAATATTAAATCGTAACTAGTCACTAAAGACATCTTAACTGTAATTTAGTCACTGCCCTTTGCGAAAGGAATATTTCAGCGGAATAAGAACGTGTCTAACACCAGCTGCCAGGTCCTATTGCTGTTTCTACTATTTAACAGGTGATTTTTTTTTTTGACTGAATTAAACACTAAAGCAGCACAACTTAAACCCCCAAAATAAAAAACAGGCGATAGACTCGGCTAGTCACTGACAGCCTATTACTCGCCCAGCCTTACCAGTGATTATATTCATTCTTACGTCATAGTACTGATTTTGTGCTGATTTACCGCCAAACACCACAGTATATGAAAGGGATTGTTATTTGTTTATGTGCACTTAGGTGTCTGCCCTCCTTCAGTACTTGCGTGAAATTTTTTGTATGCTTTCAGTCTGGGAAGCAGTTAAAAAGCCCTGTGCTTTTGGCACAAATTGGGGGAAAGTTCTCATTAAAACTTTGTTTGGACTCTGGGGAAGCAGGAGACAGTAGCTTTCCAATGCCAACTCATCACTGCTTGCCTCATTAAATGTTAAAGATGGCTCATCAATGGATCCTATCCGCGGTCCAAATACACGCCACAAAGATACTGCAGCGAGATGAAAAGGCAAGAAGGAAGGAGCAAGCTTCAGGCCCATAATGGAAACATATTGGAAATGGATGAAGAATGTGATCAGTATGGTCATATATGTGTCGTGTGTGTGTGTGTGTGGGGCTGTGGATGACCCTGCTGGAGGCTCCTTCGCCTCTCTGCCAGGCAAGCCTGGGGAGGCTTTGATGTGACAGAGGCAGTCCCTGTGAGGCGCAGGTTTAACACTGTGATGCTGCGGCCGGGATGCAGAGCCTGTCTCCACTAATCCTATTTCAATCACTCTTCCAGCCTCTTATCTCTGACTCTGCTGGCCTTCGGCCCTCCCCCCCTCCTTACAAATCTTCTTCTCTTACTTGTTCTCTTTCTGTCTTAATGTCTCTCTACCATCTACCATTTCTCTTTCCTGTACTGTATCCTTATTTCTCTCCTTTTGTCTCTCTTCAACCCTCCTTCTTCCAAATAGAAATACAATGGCAATCATTCTGATGCAACATTGGATCAACCCCAAGAAAAAGAGACACCAGAAATAAAACTGCCTATAAAACAAAGGCTTTACGAGCTATTTTAGGCTGATGAAAATGTACAAATTGTGGTTGATGTAAAACATGTCATTCGTTTGACAGCTGTCTAGGCACTGGAAATGTGATAAAATTGAAGCTGAGCTACATTTTTTTTTTAGAGGGCAGCTGCATGTGCATGAGACATCCCAGAACGGCATTTCTTTCTTTCTTCTCGCTCTTGCTGGATGAAAGGATCCAGGCGTATTCCATTTCCGTCATCAGAGCTGAGAAAGTGAAGTGCCTCTTTGCTGTACGTGGGCAGGCAGAGAGCTGCCCAGAACCACAACACGTCAGTGTGGTACGTACAAAAGCACAGGAAAGGAACGGGTGGATGGACCACCCAAGTGTTGTGCTTAGACCTTGCCCTCTGCCTCTTGACACACTTTACAAAGTGACTGTGTGTTTGCACGATTACACAACACAGCACTGCCTTGAATAGCAGGTAGGTGAAACCTGAACTTGGATGTGGGACAACCTCCTCACATCTGCACTCCCAGAAGGTCTTTATGCCAATGCTTGGTGAGTTGTGAGTATGCGTTTCTTTTCCTGTGCAAATGAAGGCTACTATAACGGCATATGATAGCCCATCTGTGCATGCATATGAAGACTTGAACATATGCACTACTTGTGTATACTGGGCGGCACTGTTTGATCAAGAACAAAGGAAAAGTAGCAAAAAAAAAAAATTGGAAAAGCAAGGAGTAAAATCAGCTGAATATTGTATAAAAGCAGCAACACTCTTTTTTTAGGCTTGTTCAGCACCTTTGGAGAACCCGTGTAGGGACTTGGGGCAGGTGCAAAGGCACACTATGGAGAATAGTAACTGTATTTTATCATCTCTGCAGGTCTTTATACAATTAATTAGAATATAGATACTCTAGCTGAAAAAAATATGAGCAGTGAGGGTTCTTCCCATGTAAAACCAGATGCAGGAGACACCCACAATCCAGATTTACTGTTTCCTCTGAGCAGTAAATATTACCCCGAGGGTTTCCTTAACCTTAAAAAGCACACTGTCTTATTAAATATGTGTAATGATTATGCCATATTAGTACCCTTGTGAGTTGCACACAGCAGCATTTAAGTACATTAACTCCACTAATTTCCAGCAACAGGCAACAATCAGCTGACTGAACAGCCATATTTTTAAGGATGAGTCCCGCCATAGTAAATTTTAGCAGCTGTGAATTTGGCTTGACGAACATCTGCTTAAAGTTGAACAGCAAAGTATAACACAACACAAGTAGAAGGATGGATACTACAAAAAAAGCAGTTTTCTCCGTCTTATTTTGTTCTTTTTCCAGTAATCAGTAAGAATATATGGACATACTGTATTGTGAAATTACACCTATTTGAGAAAAACAACATTACATATAGTTTTATACAGCACATTTTATTTTGTTAAGTCTTTGATGGTAATTCAAAAGACAGGTGTCACTGCGGCAGATGCACAGAGAGGGCAGAATGGGAGAAAAAAGATGGGAAAGAAGCGCGCCTTCTTTATAGTCTTACATCAAAGATAAAAAAGAAAAACAGGATGTAAGAAAGAACCAAACATAAAGAGGATGACAGATGAAAACGGGAAATCTTGGGCAAAGATCACATGCGAGCACTTAAGCCTTCGAGAACACGAGTCATTAAAAGACGAGA